TCTCACCCCAGTCCCACTCTCACCCCAGTCCCACTCTGCTCACACTGAGGATGGTGTTTGGGAGAAGCTCCCAGCAGCATCCGTGGGACAAAGGCCATCACCTCTCTGGAGCAGGGCCCTCCTGCTCCTGAGCTGACCCGGGAGATCCATCACCAGTGCCAAGTGTTCAGCAGCCCTGGATGGAGCCAGGGGATGTGTCCCGGCCTAGAAACAGCCCTGGCACCACCAGGGACCCCCCAGTGCCACGCTGGGGCTGGCCATGGATGGTAATTGCACTGGGATAACACTGGAATATTCGCAAGTGGCCTTTTCTGTATTAAATATAACACATTAACAGAAGGAGGGAGATTGAAATGCGGCAGGAGCAGCAAAATAAAATTAAATTATAAAGCTGAATTGCATTTAAATGCCATGAAGCATTTGGAGAATGTCAAAATGCAATGACAGCATGAACACAGCTCACACAACAGCTTAGTTAAAAACTCCGTCCCTACCAATTTAGTTCCACGGACTGTTTGCAGCTGCAGCATACCTGGAGTTGTGCTGAGCAGCACTTCCTAGGATGCTGTAGGATGTGTCTCTCCACCTAAACACGACAGCAGCACCACAAACACCACAAGGCTGATCACACTCCTCTTCCCCCAGAGCAGGCTCTTGTGCCAATTCCCAAATGTGCGAGTCATCAAGCTTTTAATCATAAAGGGCTTGCTTTTAAAAGAACATTTTAATTTTGGCCTTCTCATGGTAAGTTGTAATGGAGACTGATTAGCTAAGAAGTTTCATTTGAGGCTGTTATATTTTTGCTAATGCTGCTCAACCAGAACCAGCACGAAAGCCCCCAGGCACTATCTGATCGAACCAACACTTCTCAGCTACTACAATTACTTCTGACAAAGGAGACGCTGTTTTTTTATTGGAGAATCCCACGAAAATAAACTCTGAGGGTGGTAATCCAGGGCAATTCTTAGCTGGAGCCATTTCTTCCCTCTCCCAGGAAAGGAGTGACACCCTCCTTACAGATTTAACGCTGTTCATGTGTTTCTCCTCTCTGACAGCAAGATGGATCTGAGCTCTCGGGGGTGTGTGCACCATGCAAGATGCATGAGCAATACACTGCAAATATCTGAGAGTCACCACAAGCCAAACATTTTCCTCCCCTCACATATTGGAGGAAATTCCCTGCAGAAAGGACACATCTTCGACCTTTCTGCTGCCATGTGTGGTTCCTGGTGGTGGTTAATTCTCACCGTGCTCCCCTCTCCTGCTGCCCACCCCCCCGTGTCTGACTGCCAGCTCCCCACTTCTGTCTGCTGGAAAACCTCGGGTTCCCCCTCCACACCCAGGAAGGACCCACGGAGAGAGAGGAAGAACCTGCAGCTGCTCTCCATCCCACCCTCTCGTGGTCCTCAGAGCTGGACCACCGCCTCCCAGGGCCTCCCACCGCCGAGCTCTGCGCTATCCCTGCCCTTTCTCTGCCCTTTCTCAGGGGCAGGATACAGGGAAGGAGAGGCTGGAGGTTTGGAAGTCAAACCTGGCTCGAGGTCCTCCCGTGGGCAGCACACAGATGTCTCGAGCAGCTGATACAGCCCCAGCGCCTTCCCCTGGCTAAAAACGTGGGCTAGATCCCCGATTTTAGGAAACACCCGCGTTCCTGAAGTGGCTGCAGCACCGTGGACTGACAGGTTCTACGGAGAAGTGCCACCACAGCTCTGGGATCCAGGATCATGAAGTCACCGCCACGGGACGAGGAGTGCCCTGCCCCGGGCTGGGCACAGGCTCAGCCCCGAGCTGTGGTGCCAGGGTGGGGAGCCTGGGCACATCTGGCCATCACCTAAACCAGGCAGGGCTCCAGCACAAGAATTTCACCATCCGTGTAGATTCAACCAGACAGAAAGGCCGAGAGCCGAAGCATATTAATTAATTCTAATTAAGATGGGGCATACATCTTCACAACCAAATTCTGTGGATTCAGCACCGCCCTTTCTGCACTGGAAGGACCACTAGAGTCTCCTTAAAAGACAACATAATTGAGTTAATTGAAAAATAGAAGCAGTTTCAAGTCTAAGCCCTTCCATGCAATTTTTTTTTCCCCCTTGCAATTTTCAAGTATCATTTTCCTGCTTCTCCTCTTGTCCTGCCGCGTGTGCAGCAACAGCTCAGGCAATCTATAAAGGTGATGAATTCACTACAGGTAGGATAAGCATCGAGTTGTATCAAACAGCACAGCAAGGGAACTGGAAAGCAAAGAAAAATGGATGTTTTTTCAGACCTTTACACTACACATATTTTGTTTTGCTTGACAAACGCCAGAAGGAGAAACAATTCAGGGCGGGGGCTGCTGCATCCCGGTATCGCCCTGGTGACAGCACGCTGAACCTGCATTCCAAGGGAATCGGGCACACCGTGACGGAACACGGGGAGCACAGGAGCTGCCAGTGCTCCAAACCCACTGACACCCTGCATTCCAAGAGAATCGGGGACACCGTGACAGAACACGGGGAGCCACGGGAGCTGCCAGTGCTCCAAACCCACTGACACCCTGCATTCCAAGAGAATCGGGGACACCATGACGGAACATGGGGAGTACAGGAGCCAGTGCTCCAAACCCAATGCCACCCAGCATTCCAAGAGAATTGGGGACACTGTGATGGAACACGGGAGCTGCCGGTGCTCCAAATCCACCGCCAGCCCTGGGGCTCCTCCTCAGTTCAGGATCCCAGCTACTGCAAACCCCACAGCCCCCACGCCACAGCCCAAGGCTTATCACAGCTGTGTTTCACACCAGAATCCTCCTTCCTGCGGCCAAAAAGCCGCAGAGGTGCAGACCAGCTGCTCACAAACTGGAATTCCATCAGGATCTGAGCACAGCTCGCGTATCCCTGCCTCCATCCACAGCCACGGTCAGGATTTCTGCTGCTGCACCCGTGGGAGCCGGATCAGCTCCTGGTGCAGATGGGGGGCTCAAAATAGCAACAAGCCCCAGCTTTTGGAATAATCCTGAGCAGCAGCAAGCTTCTGCCTCTTCACAGCAGGGTTTTTAACCCAATTTTTTAAAATGCAGGTCGGGCAGCTCTAGGCGGGGCCGTGGAAGACGCTGGGTTTGCGGGAACGTTGCTCCATGGGAGGACAACACGGCTGTTGCGTGTGGCTCCAGCAACGTGACACGCTCTGTTTTCGGGATGACAGAGTGCATCTATTTCAGGAGCACAGAGGATGGCGTGCCTCATCAGAGGACAGAGCAGGAGGACAAATGAGCCAGGGTCACAGCAGGCAGGCTCAGCACCAGCTGGACGTGGAGGGTGGTCCTCTCCGGAGGAGCACAGAGCAACGCCCCACACCCTCACCTCTGAACTCCTCACCACGACCCATTCGGGAATTTTGTTATTTCACTGAATGGACTGGAAACGATTATGATTGCACTGAACAGCGAGTACGAAACTAAAGGAGGATGCCAAAGCTTTGGAGATGGTCTGTAAAGAAGCTACCACTAGAACTGCCCCTAAAAGGGCTGACAGACCTCCATGGTGTGGAGTTTCTGCCAATTAATCACATAAAGAACGCTGTCAACAGGCAAAGGGAGAGCAGGTCCTCTGGGAACACCGTGCAGATGTCCCCAGGTGCTTTGGAGCACCAGCCAGAGTGCCCAGAAGGGAAAATCCACCTCGTACAAGGGAGGGTAAGGATTGTTTTAGTTCATGGTCTTGTCACCCAAGGGAAGACATTCAGCACATCTCTGTGCCCCATCAGCAGAATCTCCTGTCTTTGTCACCCAGCAACACGCCACACTCTGCCTGGTGCTGGCGGGTCCAACACACCCCTTAGGCCACACAGCCAGGGATGAGGCTGCCCTCCAAAACATTTATTATTTTAAAGTCTAGTCTGGTGTTTATGCCAATATTTGATGCTCGACTTTGCTGCCTCCCTGCTCCCCCACAAGCTGAGGGCAATCGGGGGAGGACAG